GGCCCGCCGGGAGTCGTGTTGCGGCCCGCGGAGCTAGGTCAAATGAACATAAATGTTAACTTTATTGTACATATCACCAAATGAACATTAGAAGAGTTAAGAAGGTTTGGAAGAGTTCTATGAAACGTATTTGGACAAGGATAAATATCTTGCGTTTTACAAACATGCTCTGTCAATGGTTTCGCTATTTGGAAACACTTATGCGTGTGAACAACTTTTTAGTCGTATGAAGTACATCAAATCACAAGTGAGAACACGAATTACTGATGTTCATTTGGAAAACTGTTTGCGTGTAGCGACTACATCAGTCCAGATCAATTTTGATGCACTTACTTGTTAGTTCTGTAAAACAAAGTCAGATGTCTCACTTTTAAATATTTTTAAATTGTCTAATAAATATGTTTCTCGGTTATTAAATAAATGATTCTCGGTTTTGTTTTATTTTTTTCAAAAAAATAAATATACCTATTTTTTGTGTTTTTTTTTACATTAAACCAGGCAAGTGTTTGACCACGATCTCACCTACTGGAAAGCAACGATGCGGTTGAAGCTGTAGCACGCTTGCTTGTTTACTTTAATTTAAAAAAAGATTAGGTGCGTGGCCCGGCAGGAAATATTATTTCTGAAATTTTGCCCGCCTGCTAAAAAGGTTGGCCACCCCTGGCCTAGAGGCTCATGTCCAGCTAGCCGATACAACCCAAGACAAGACAAGCGCTCGTTGATTTGCTTACTTGGCCACTTGCTTTAATACGGCTGCATAAGAAACCAATAATATAGCTTGTTTTATATTGAACATCATTGGTTTTCTTGCCTAGATGCTCTCCACCCAGACGTATTAAATATAAATTGAGGGAAAGGGACAACTGAGAGCATTTATCCGGTTTTCGGTTCTAATTCGTGTCGTTATGCAACATGACTACTCGAAACCTAGAAGGAAAATGAAACAGTTCCAATTTCCATTTAATTTTATTGATATGGTACGAAAGCAAATATTCTATTGCTGAGATAATAGAAAATCATGACTTAGAAGTTTACTCACATCTAAACGACAAGTAATATCATTCCCGCTGCTCCATTGTTGGTTTGGATAAAGCCATGATGGGCTTGACAGGCCTTCTTTTTGCTCCCAGGATAGAAAGAGTTTAAAAAAAGAAGCCAATGAAGCACTAGCCTGCCTTTTTAGATTTGACTTTTGAATAGATATGTCGGGTTCAGTCTTTCACTGCTTGGTGCCTGTCCCACTATATGTGTCAGTCATCAATAGAATACCGAGCTTTTTATAATAATTCTATATTCTACAGGTAGGTAGTTCCGAGTCGGAACCGACCTGGACTCGGAAGTAGTAGGAACAGTTCCACACCGAGTGCTGAGACCATGAAAATTTTTCATTGGGGCAAAGCTTAGAGTCAAAGAATTATATTAAAAATTTTTATTTAATTATCTCGCAAGTGGATTATAGAATACAAAAAGACAAAAATATGTACAGAACTTGTAAATCTGTAATAGTTAACCAATGTCCAAATTTCTTACTGAAAATTTGACATGAAACGCTACAATTTTCACTTTGTTTTTCTCTTCTCAACCCTAAAGTTGGTCTAGTCAGCGTCAAGTCCATCATTGACATATATTTAGTGCCATTGCTTGATTTTGCTATAATATGTTCTGTCTTTCTCCTTCGTCTTTTTATTGCTTTCTTTGCCATCGTTGCCTTAAAAGGCACTCTGGTGACATATTGAGTGCAATCGGATCATAACTGTAATCATTTACATATCTAGGCTCTCCTAAATATATGTCTATTTTTATGGTAATTGGACAATAATGTTTTGCTAGGAACTTTTGTATTTCAACATAATAGGCCTCTCCTTACTTGAGATTTCAGTAACCTGAGATCAACCGCAATCCTAAAATATTAAACTGGAAATTCTACAAATAAATTACTTAAAAGTTTTAAGTTTGGTGCCATTCTGAACAACATATTGAAATCTTGTGGCTCCCGATTTCTCCCGAGAATCGTTTTTATTCAGCGTAACCATGAAGTTTATACTACCCGCCTATCAGTTACTTAGTATTTATCTCGGTTAACAGATCAACTATCGCGGAATGCTTGTATTGATATTTAAATAACGCTTATTTTACTTAACAATGTTCTTAAAACAAAATAGTAATGATAGTGGCTATTCGAATATGCCAAATAGAAACTACAAAATTCTTCCTTGAAAAGATGAAAATTCTCGACTTAAGAACGAAAGAAAAACCCATATGTCATATTAACATCAATTTTGTAAAAATAGATTGATATAACTGTGCCTAATTTATTAATTATACATTATCGTTGGTACATACGTATGGAGAAGAACATAGGGTTCGGTACTATCCGCAGTGTCAGGTATTTCCTGGAAGTCTTGAATCGTATCCCAGTGGATAATGGTGATTACTACACCTGTAAATCATAATTTTTCAAACTTGAAAGTTACAATTTTATAAGACAGGCGTTATTTAAATTATTTACATTTGAAATCCAGCTGTAAATTAATTTGAATCTTAAATTGTTTTTATAATAGGGATAGATCCGTACTTTTGTGTTCGCCGACCTCATTATGGATGAGTTCTAATTTTTTCGAGCGTAGGTGTTTTGTAGAATGCCACAACGATCCTTAGACTACTAATTTGAATGCCACTTGCTTTTATTTATTCATTTTTATTAGTTTAGTCTGCATTAGCTTAATACTATTACATTATTAAAAAATTATTTATAATTAGTTTCAAATTATATATTAAAAAATAATTGCGTATAATGCTATTTTCTAAGTTCAATTTTCAAGAAAGTACTCTTTGCTCTATTAAGACCTCGTGCTTCATCGAAATCGGGTATTGCCTATAAAAATTAATTTAAATTATTCATTTTTATATATAATGACACGTTTAAAAAATTGTAAAAGAAATTGCTTACTGTTTCGTTTTTTCCCAATTTAAATCTAATATTTTGTAACATTCTAACTAGACCCATTTTGATCTCCATAACTGAGAACCTCATTCCTATACAGCTTCTGGGCCCATATCCAAATGGTAAATTTGTAAAAGGAATAATGCTGCTCTTCTTAGATAAAAATCTATAAAACACAAGCATTTTTAACTATCGTTCTTTTTAAATAGTTATATTACTTAATTATAAACGTATTCATTAAATATAGGCTATATGGCATTGAATTGAGAGACGAAGGAAACAAAGTTAAGTATGTGATTCGGGCGATTGTAAACATTTTTGTGGTCCCCGTATCAATATCTTTAGAGGAAATTTTATAGTTATAGATACAGATATTAATAATGAACAGTGAGAACTGAATAACATATGAAAAATATTCAATACAGTATTTCATAATTTCAAAACTGAAAATTTTCAGTCGAACAGAATTTACAGGAATATTAAAGTATTATAAAATTTTAGTGATGATGTTTAAAGAACTGAGTAACATTAAATTGATTTATCTATAAAATGAATTAATGGATTGCATAAAACATTTAAGCATATATACGGTTTAAAATAAGACGTTAAATAATTTTATGTTTTATATACAGGATGCTTCAAAAATATATAACACATATATGGAGAAGGTTCGTAGCCACTAGGCGTTATGAGGAGTTTTTGAGAACTCGCGATATATAGGTGAGAAGTCGCAATCCAATTGATCATGACTTCTTGCATATCGATGGAGAAACTACCACTGCAAATCCAGCATAAGAAGTTACTTCCATATTAATGTTAAATGTTTATTTTTTCCATACATGATATACACGAGATCTCAAAAATATTCTAAGATTTCAGAAATTCACAATCCATTTTTGATGAGTAAGTTTTATTTACCTTTCGGGATCAAATTTGTCCGGATCAGGAAAGTAATTGGCATCGTGATTAAGAGAGTAAACAGGAATTATTACAACAGTGCCTTTTTTTATTGTAATTCCTGTATTCCTTAATGTATAGTCTTCAACGGCAGTGCGTTCTAATCTAGAAAATATTGTCTATATTGTTTAATTATATAAAATTATTGCTTGGCATTTATANATACTGTAATATCGGGAGAGATGGTTATTTAATGGCCATTTCTAGAAATGATTCCATATACATAATTATAAAACAAAACGTGTATTGTAACGTGAATCTGATGAATCACACACGCCGAATAACTATTTAGTCGGGAACTTTAATATTTATTAAACTGATGCGTAATACGTTGGGTCCACCAGTGATCAAGTGGTTCCATTTTCTGAACTACTGAAGTTTGGTTATGGGTTTGAGCCTCGCCCGGAAGGGCTGGCTACTTGGAGTTTTCCGGGTTTTCTCCACGTTTCTAACTTCTAAATAGTGGTCAGTTACTTTTATAACTTCTAAATATTGGCCAGTTACTTTTAAAAAGATCTTTTGGAAGGCATTATTCCCCGCGTAACGACCACCATAAGGTAATTATTATTACATGACTATTACGTCACACTTTACCACGAGGCGATATAGCCTAGAGCAGGGGTGGCCAACATGAGGCCCGCGGGCCGCATGCGGCTCGCTGGGAGTCGTGTTGCGGCCCGCGGAGCTAGGTCAAATGAACATAAATGTTAACTTTATTGTACATATCACCAAATGAACATTAGAACAGTTAAGAAGGTTTGGAAGAGTTCTATGAAACGTATTTGGACAAGGATAAATATCTTCCGTTTTACAAACATGCTCTGTCAATGGTTTCGCTATTTGGAAACACTTATGCGTGTGAACAACTTTTTAGTCGTATGAAGTACATCAAATCACAAGTGAGAACACGAATTACTGATGTTCATTTGGAAAACTGTTTGCGTGTAGCGACTACATCAGTCCAGATCAATTTTGATGCACTTACTTGTTAGTTCTGTAAAACAAAGTCAGATGTCTCACTTTTAAATATTTTTAAATTGTCTAATAAATATGTTTCTCGGTTATTAAATAAATGATTCTCGGTTATGTTTTATTTTCTTCAAAAAAATAAATATACCTATTTTTTGTGTTTTTTTTACATTAAACCAGGCAAGTGTTTGACCACGATCTCACCTACTGGAAAGCAACGATGCGG